TTCTGAGGTCCCTTCCAGCCCTTATGTCTATGAAATCTATGAGATAATACAGTAAAAAGAAAAGATAGGAAAAAATCTCTCTCCTGTTCTATTCTGTTTTGTTTGTTTCATAAGGTGCCAATGAAAGCTATGTATGACTGTAACATCATCGCTTCAGACAAACAGTTCACACTTTAAACAACTGGTATGAAAATATACATTCCTGTATTCATTACTTCTTCCTCGTCTATTCTGCTCTTCCCAAGTGATAATATACAGTCAACTCTTGAGTATAATTGCAATAACTTTATATATAAAAATCGGAGGTGTTGCTTGTCACTCACAGCACAGCTCTGGTAACACTGGTATGTATATACTTCAGGATAATTTTTGCATAATTAAAAGAGCATATTGATACAACTGATCACAGGTGTCTCAAAATACTACTTGTGATCACTGACAGTGAAATATCAGGAATTAGATATCACTTGTTATCTGAAGTCATCTTGAAGAAGTGGTATGTGTGTCTTCAGTTAGCTGCCTTTCTGGAAACTTGAGCAGCTAGTAGATAGCAATTCCAAAGACAGCTCAAAGACTTCAATACTTCATGAGTAGCTAGTACCTTCTTGTTATGCAGAACATACAGTTCACCCTGGTCACTCTTGTATTAAAGTAGAGTCTCCTGAAACCAGGACCAATAATGGCTTGATGTATTCTTTGTTGTTGCTCTTGCAATTTTACACATTAGTCTCATGATTTTGGAAGAAAGACAAGGATCCTTCAATAAGTCAACCAGTATTATCTGCACAAAATTGTGACATCTCTGAAATGTTATCAAAAATACTTCAGTTCAGTTTTGCTTCAAGAATAATCTTATACTTGAGCCCATGTTTTCCATACTTAGCACAACCTAATCATTGGTGCAAGGTCCAGATATTGTGATGCTTCTGTTCTGTGGAGTGGAAGCTGAGCAGCACCTTCATATTTGTGTATTTGGACACTCATTGCATCTATTTCATTTCATTTTTAATATGCCAAAGGTGATTTTTTTAATGAACGATACATGATGGCTATATGCAAACTGGTAGAATAAAGCTTGTAGTTTTGGAAGCTCTGTAGGGGACAGCTGTGATTTGTGGCACCAATAGAAACATGGGAGACAGTTTGAGAAAACAAGGTAAGGATATTAGCTGAATGGTTCTGCTATAATGATCAGAAATAAATCAGTGAAGTAGTTAAAATGTTAACAGACAATTGTCATATTTAATAACCATACAAAACTATTGTTTCAGATGGTTTGCAGACTCAAGAACACAGCACTATAAATTTACATGCAATGTATGTTGCCTTTGCAACCATAATATCAAAAGTACACTTCAAGAAACTCATCTAAAATGGAATACATGGTAGTTCTACAGTCAGATGTGGATGAATGCAATGCATGGGACTTTGTATATGACACAGATGAGGTAATATTCTGTATTTGGCCAAAGCACTAGGCTTATAGCCAAATTTGATGACGTACTGGCTTAAGTTTCATTCATCTGCCTCAGTTTTATCAATATTTTAGCAAATACAGGCATATAACTTAACTATCCTTATCACTATATCTTTGTAAGTGTAATCTTGCACTACGTTGACACTGCCAGTTTAACAGTTCCTTTCAGTGAAGCCAGGCATTCACAGAGTACTTGGTGCTGTTGTAGAGATCACATTCTGATATTCCCATTAGCAGTGTATTCTGTCCTAAGATGTCTTTCAGTTGAGTGAGAATTATGTTATTCCTGCCATTGACCCAAATGGAACTATTGATCAAGTAAGATAGTCAGTTGCAGTCGGGGTATTAGAATCTGCCTCTTGGATATCTAATTTTATAAATATTACTAACTGCTCACATACCACATGCACCTTCTCCCCTAAAATCAGCCCCTCCCCCCAAAAATTGGGTGGCATATCTTAAGTAGGGAAGCTGATTTTTTTTTAAATTGGAATACATGCATGGAGGAGTAGAAGCATGGAGAGACTGTGAAATAGAATGTTTGCTCGTTCTCTCTGGGAGAGCAAACAAGAAGGGGCAGAGTCCAGTCTTAACCCTTGCACAGATGCAACTGAATTGGCAGTTTGGAAAACAATTTATAAAACAATTCTGTGTTTTCTATATAAGAACAAAGGTTTTTCTAAGGTCCCAGATTTCTATATCTGTTACTAATGCAATCAGTTGTTTAGCCATTTTGGTTGATACTTTGACTACTACTAATAGGACTGAACTTACAGTACATAGCACCACATAATTGAATACCAACATTACACGTGGTGCTGTACAGTACAGAGAAGAAAATAGGATCTCTGCTACAAGGGGCTTCTTATCTCCCCATGATCTGACGTGTAAATATTGTACTATTCACATAATTAAAGGCAGTTACCATGTCTTCTCTTTTGGAGGGCCCCCAAGGAGGAAAAAAGAACTTTCCTTCGAGTATGAATAAATAACTGAGGTCTGGGGGTCTCTGGGTCCGGGTCCACATGCTAGTTCCAGCCACAGACTAACCCTAAGCATCTTCCCAATCCAGCATGCTGTGCTGTGTCAGGTAGCCAAGCCAACGATGGGCAGCATCAATTGCTGTGACTCCTCCACCTCCAGATAGCTGCTCAGGAAGCGGCCACAATTCCTGCTGCAACCATCCCTGCCACCAAATCTCTGGACCCCTAAGGATCTATGTTTCTTGCATATGATGCACACCTGAATTTCCCCCAGCTGATTTGGAGGGAAATGTGCATATTTTAAGTGAGAAAATACAGTAATTGAAAGAAAATGTAATTAATACATCCAAAATACAGCCAAAGCATGTTTTAAAAATGCCATTATAAAGAATTTTTTCATGCAATTAAGATGCATTTCGATCAAGAATTTAGAGGAATTTGTACACTGGGGAGCTGCTGAGAAGTCCAAAGTAAAATTCTGTCCCCATGTGGGATGGTTTGTTACCCCTGGTATTTTAAAACTGATCCCATATGTGGGTGCTGCTGAATTAGCCCTGCTAGAGATTATCCCCAGGGCTCATAAAATACTTCTGATGAGAAATAGCTTTGCTTCAAGTCCAGGCTAGATAATGCTAAAGAGACAAGCATTCTCCCAGTGTTCCCCAGAAGAGAACAGTCTGTTACCTCTCTGCTTCCAGGTTTCACCCCAGCTTCAGTATTACACAATGCGCACGCTGCGGTAAGTGTTTGTTGTGTTTGATTTACTTTTATATACAATGTATATCCAGCAAAGCTTGTTGACCCAGTGCTGCTGACTTCTTTGGTTATCAGACAGCTGCTCATCATGCTGACCACTTTTGGCCCATTGTTTCCATTATTCTCTCCACCATCTTTTTGTCTGTATTCATCTGTTGGGTCTTGTCTTACACTGATACTGTAAGCTGTTTGGGGCTGGGCCCATCTTTTATACAATATATACCACAGTAGGATTCTGGTCCTGAACTGAGGCTCTTAAGTGCTACCAAAATATGAATAATAAATAAAATAATATGAGGAAAGGATTTTGTTAAATGGAAATACAAATAGACCTTTTCTCTATACAGTGGAGTCACATCATACGTGCATTTAACTTACACAAATCCGTCATACACGTATGCCCCAGAGTGCCAATTGTTTGGATTCAGCCTGCAGCTGCCCCCCGCAGCACTGTGCATGGGGCCAAGCAGCTACATTAGGAGTAGCCCTGCTGGGAAGCTGTGCATGCCGGCTGGCAGGAGTTTGGTGCAGGCTGCCCTGGGTGGGAGTGAGCGGACTGTACCACTGGGCAAGCCCAAGGGTAATTTTGACTATACGCAATTTTTGCCTTACGCACTGACTTTAGAACCTAACCCCCGGGTAAGATGCAACTCCGCTGTACTGGCACATATCTCCTGGTACGTAGCATGTAAGTCTATAGTGGACAGTTTTTTATTGGAGTCCCAATTTACCATGTTGGCAGTATATTGCCCTTGTATATGTCTCGCATCATAAAGGTATGGAAAACTGGAATTATTTTTTCAATGGATCCAGTGTTGCAAACCAATCTCATTTAATTCTTCTAGGGTAAAAATGACATTTATCAATTTTGAAATTATATTTTGTAGCCTTTACTAGATTTGAAAGCTGCTTATTCCTTCCCTCAAAACATGCAGTTTTTCAAAAATTTGCCAAATGACACAAACCAACTTTCTTTGGCTCTTTGAGAATGGAAGCATGTAGGTATTTCCAACCATCACCATTATTTTAATGTTCTGAGATTTTTCCAGCTGTAATATTGGGGTGAATAAGTGAAAAAGTAGAGCCAAAAGGCATGAAGTAACTGTTGAAAGTATTTTTTCATGTTAGCTCTTCATGAAGTATTTAAAAGTTTCTTTTGTATGCCATGACCCTATATTATACAGGTTGAACTATCAACCTTCAAAGTCTTACATGCCTCAGTAGCTGCAGTTTAAGGTCAGGGAAGGTATGATCCAGTTGTTAACAGTGTAAGTAGTTATTGCAACACCTGGATAAGAGAATTGCAACTTATGTCCTAATTTCCAAGGTGGAAATGCCAGTGTCACTGATTGGCTACTTTCCTTTCTCCACCCTGACTGTGATTGGTGGATCCTCCCATCTTATCTGTCTCATCTTGCCCAGACTGTTGCACTTCACAGTTCAACTGCTGAGCACTGACCACAGAGGGACCAGAGGTTGCTTGCGGATAAGGACTTGGCCAACGAGGTGTGTTTCTGGGACTTTGGGGGGCAGATGCTCTTTGACCAGAAGTTCTTTATTCTCAAAGGCTATGAAGTATGTTTATGGATAATCAACAGGATTTAGGAATTTAAAAGGAAAGGAGAAAGGTGTGTTTGAAAAGATGAGTCTGAAGGAGGAGACTGCCTGCTGAACTTAAGGGCTATAGAACTGAGCCCTAAATTGCAAGGACAGTAGGGCTTCTTGGGCTGTGTTTCAAACTACTGGGAAATTATTATAATTTTGTTTTTGTTTTTTTGTTTTTCAAGTCTTTTTAACAACTTTTGTCTCTCTTCATAAGTTTGCCAGATATCTTAGAGAGTGAAGTCATCAAATTGTCTTGAAGTTCATGAAATCTCAGAAGTGTATGCTGACCTGAAGTTATACTAAATTAACTGTGAAAGGAGGTTTTCAGGGCAAGATAATATTGTGAAGGGAACCATGTGGAACCTTGGAATTATAGACTCATAGGATGCATGCAGATGAGTGTTCAATTGTGTTTCCCTAGGGACATATAGCAGCGACACATAGTTGTGCCACTGCTGCTTGTCCCCAGGGAATACCTGTGCACACATGCTCTAGCGCGCTGCAAGTTGCCCTGTGTGGGGTAGGGGGGGCTAGGGCCAGTACCTGGGCTGGCCCCAGCAGCCTTACCTGAGGTCCTGGGGGCCTCCCAGGGCTCCAGCAGCGGCGATTCAGGCATGCAGAGCTTTGCCAGCAGCCAGGGTGGGGCTCCAGCCAGCCAGGCTACAGTTTTGAGTGGTGCACACTGCTGCCACATGCACTACCCTGCTTTTTTCTGCCTTGGGTTTTTTTGACACCAGGGTATTCCAGGTTGAAAAAAACCCACCACATTGCAAATTAGCAGCATAGCAAATGCTTGCATGTGCCACACATGCAGTTTCCAGCACCACAGATGGGTCTGCGGCACTACAAACTGCGCGTGCGCACTCATTTAGATGTTCCCATAGAGGTGAAAGCACCCTCAGAGTCATCTACTGTAACTCCCTGCAAAGATGCAGGATTCACTATTCCTAAACCATTCCCAACTATTAAAGTACATGCAGGCAGACAGGAGCAAATGTGTTCATTGTTGGATAAGAGAAGGCTTCTGATTTCAGGTGTGTATGATATATAGACCACTATAATGTTGCAGAATTGACTGCATGGAGCAGTGAGGACCATTACTTTTTTAATTAAATTCTTTATTTCTTTAGAAAGTCTACCTGTATCCATGTGAAATATTTATTTTTAGGCTTATAGCAAATATGTTTTTATGAAGATAGCCATAGCTTTGAGATCCTGATTGTATCAGAATCTCTTTTGGGATTCCTATTGGGACCTTTCTGCTCCTACCTCTAGTCCAGCCTTGGAATTTAAAGAAATGCTAAGATACTCCACTGTTGTTATTCATTTTTAAAGTCAATTTTCTAAGGTGCCATGGCGCAGCTTCATCTCCTGTCCAGAATAAAGGGACTTCTTTCAGATGTTCCCATCATTGCTCTTCAAACTTTAACAAAGAGCTGATGCAAAAGGAGGACAGCGTCAATCATTTCTCCTGCTACCTTTGTACTTCCGTCTTCCTGGCAGAGGGCAAATGTGAGATTAAACCTAGATTTTCCTTCAGGGCAGACCAAGGTATATCTAACTAAAGAACAACTCCAGAAAAAAAATGTCAAGGTAGATTTTTTTCTAGTGCCAGGTAAGTTATTGCTATGGATGCTCTATAGATACAGAGTATCAAATTAGAAACAAACATTCCTCCCTGTGCCATGAGTCAGACAGAAGGATTTCAACAACGTATAGAAGAGTGCATATTAACTCACGGTTTATTACAGCTGTTGCAGTCATAACACCCACATACCATATTTAAATTTTAATTAGAGATAGACTAAGTCAAAACAGTCGCAAGAAAGTGGCTTATCACATCCACCAACCTGTTACCTGTGCGCAACACTTACAAGGATTCTATTTAAATAGCAATGCTCTGAGAGCTTTGGGAGGGACGGTATCTCTCTCTTCCTGATTGCTCACCACAGTTAATGAGTCTGACACCTCACAAATCCTCAGAAGCTTCTCCCTACTTGTGAATTATGATTCAGATCTTTCAACATGGAACTCACAACCACCTTGTTTTCTTAACCACTGACATGGTGGCTTGTTGATAAGGCGTTTAGTTTCAGTTCAAAGTCAGACCTATATAGCCTTGTCTCTTGCATCATTCTTTTGGTATCTTTTTCCTCATAGACAGTTAAAAGGTAGTTTTGCTCACTAGTGAAAAATAGATATAGAGGTAGGTGAAAAAGAAAAAGGCTACATAATAAGCTCTGTTAAAAGTCTTGAACAATTTCCTCTTGTGGTCTATATTATAGCCTTGCATGTCACCATGAGACAACCCAACGACAGACAGACATGAGAAATAGGAAGGGTTATTAAATAATTTTTGGAATTTCACAGTGAATCCATACTATCACTGGGACATTGTTAAATATTTATAATGATTGATGGGTTTTGCAAATTATGTAGTGGTGAAGTTTTATATAAAGCTGATTTGATTATGAGCAATCGAATCTGGTTTTAAATGCATGAGAACTTCTGGAATGTTCTTTTTTGTCTTTGCAACAATATATCATGAATGCTAACACTAAGGGTGAATTATAGGAATATATTTTTCTTCCTTGACTTTGTCTCACTTAAGTTCTCTTTTAGTTCTAATTCCCTCATTATTTTTCATAAGCTAGCTTACTAATAAAACAACTCAAACTAAGAGTTCACCAGAAAATTTAATGAAAGATTTCTCAGCAGTCCCTTGGAAGCAGCAGCATTGGGAAATACCACATGGGTCCTGGTTCTAGTAACAAGCTCAAGCAATGTTCTGAGGCCCAGGGGTTTATCGATTGGACCCATCTTGATTAAAGACAGAGCTGAACCAAACCTCTGGATCCAGTTATGTGGAGGTTTGGGTCAAGTCCATTTCCAAACTAATGAAGCTATCAAAATAACCAGAGAGAACTGAGCATTCAACTAATGCCTCAATGCTTAGAAGGAAATATTAGCATACTTTACTGCAGTGTTGCATCAATTATAGGTATTTTATTGTTACAGTTTTTCTGCAGAAAATACAAAATCAAGTTTTGTAGACTTGTCTTGGTTTTTGCTCTGTGGGAGAAGAGCTACATGTCAACTATGATAGCCACTGACAGAGAAGTTACTATAACCTATATGTTCCTTTCTCCACAGATGGGGCAATATTACCCTTTTGTGCTTCTATTCTGTGGGGTATTTGTACCAAATATCCTTGGCTTTCCACATGTGAACACTTCAATAGATTGTGATTCTATGTTACCACACTATGAAGGTGAAGCACAAAAATCACCACCACCATACCTCATTACTACCTCTTTTGATAGCTATGACCCAGGAAATGAAATTGAAGGTAAACAACATGACTAATTTAAAAACTTTGTCTCCTTCTTGCAACATATTTCAGCTTCAGCAGAATTCCAGCTGACTTTCGCCTATAACATATTCTGAAGCAGATCCCTTTCCTTCTATTCCTACTTGCCTATATCTTGTTTCCTGGGATGATGTTGTTTTTCTCAATTTCCAGCCCCACCCCCCCGAACAAATATGACTGTGTCTCATTCCTCCTATATCTGTGTCAAAGCCGGCCCACATGACTATTTGTTATTTGGTTTCATTTCATTTGTTGAATATTAGCTGTGTGTCCAGCACTGAACAGAAAAAAGGGTCCTAACCTCAAGCTGTTTAAATGCTACCATCTCTCAGGGCAGTAAATTTTTCCTACAAAACTCAGCATATTAGAACTCAAATGGGTCTTTATGATGCGTTTTGACTTTAGCACAGAATTTCAGTCCAGGAGGAAGAAAAGCTACAGTGACCTGCCTGTGAAATACTCTATTTTTTCCTTTAATGAAATCTGAAACGAACCTGTAGTCTCCTGAGTCCATCAGAAAAACACCAATGATTGCAAGACTCTCAAGACTCAATAATTCACAGCACTTAAGTCTTTTTACATACCTCCTTTCCCTAGTCTTAGTCTTGGCCCAGCCCCTATAGTGGGGGCTTAGAATTGGGTCCCCAGAAAGGGACTCACCCCTTATACCTGGTATAATTGAAGCAGAACAGGGGTGAGACTTATGCCCTTTAAAGCTACAAGGAACTCAAAATTAAAAATAATAGTAGTACCACTGGTCTGTGGGACCTTCTGCTTCTAAAGAAATCTTCCTCCTGAAGGCTTCTAAAATAATCCTATGACCTTTAGTTGCCCTAACCCCCAGTTCATGTTACCCCATTAAGGCCATCAGTTTGTGTGGAGGGAAGTTAAAATCTGTCCATTTTCCACTGTGCAACCCAAGCAACTTAAATGGAGCATTCTGCACAGAATAGCTTCTGTCCAGCTATGCACCTGGTATATTTCTTGATTCCCAAGGAACTAGCTGGGAGTTGAGACGAGAGCACTTTCATGAGAAACAGTATATGGGTGACAACATAGAAACAGAGGAATATATGGCCTTTTGTACCTGGAATCCATGGTGTTTTAATAAGGTTTGCTAATAGCTGCTCGAAGGTGGCAGAAGTGTATGGACACTGAAAAGTGATGGTTAATTTTAAAGCAGTTCTTAGCAACAAAATGACAAGCAGATTGTGAATGTTTGGAAGAATGTTTACAGCAAAATATGCAATGAACCTTTGCTGTTAGTAAAATCCCCTTCCTTTCTTGTTCCTTTGGCCACACCCTACCTGAATTCTTCCACTGGCTCTTTCATTTCCACTGCCCCAAGCTTTGTGGGCTCGTCTTCAAGGCCTTAAAGAATTCTGTTCCTTGCTCCTCCTCTCTTCTTCTGTCCACCAACAGCATACCATTTATTACTTCTCCTGTAACTACTTTGCCATTCTCCTATACCATTCCTTTGCCTTCCTGAGCTGGCCTCAAAAGCCACTGTTGTTTCCTGACTCAGAAGTTCAAATTCCTCCTGAAATCTGTCTTCTACCAGGCAGACCTAACAGAAAGAAGAAGCAGAAAAGTTTTCTTATCAGTACAACTTGTAAGACTGCAAACACTTGGAGCAGATCAGATGAATAGGATGTTTCCAATTGTACAGTCACTTTGCAGAGCAGAATTCTATTTTAAGGTTGTCTATAATCATAATCTATAATCTGCTTTTTAATTACTTCACAAATATGTGTAGTAATATGTCATATAAGTGCATATGCCTATGTTGCTTTGTTTCGTTTCTTCCTTGTCCTTCTCCCTGTAGCTAAGAAAAACTGTAATAAAAATGTGACATTTAAAAATAGTATAAAAGTGCATCAGGCATTACTGTACATGCAGATGGATGGTATGAGGTTTGCAAAATGTGTTAAATATTTTGTTTGCTTCCACAGAGTTTGAAACTTATGTTTCTCCAAACATCTTTTCTCCCCAGTGACATTACATGGAAATGATAAGTCCGGTTTTCAAGGATTTCTTCTACAGGCTCGGGAAGTTGATGGAGATGCTCCTGTTGGCACTTTTAAAATTACAGATCCGAACACACAAGGCCTTAGTTGTAATAATGTTTCGGTATGTGCTCGTTCTTTCAGAGGAGTGATTTTAGCTTGGTTAACCTTTACATTTTTTACTGATACCAGTAAAAAAGCAAGCATTTTTCTATGCTGAAGTGATAAAGTAACAATATCTATCAAAAGAAATGTACTCTTTTCCTTAACCAATACACGTGTCTTCTGAATGAGTCAAATCCAGAGTTTTGAACTTTGTCACGTAGTATCACATAACACATGCAAATGCAAGGATGTTGTAGCCAAATTCCTTTGCTTATAGAAACAAATATATACAATCAAAATATTTTCAATTTTTATGTGAATTTTTTGTATTACAGAATTCAGCTGTAAGTCATATAAACTCAGATGTGAAGAACAAAGTTACAACAATTTGGGTTGCCCCTTCCAAAGCTAAGGATGTTCGATTTAGGTATGTCTGATTTTTCTTTTTTATTTTGTAGTCATAGGACTTTTTAACACAGTTCCATTGACCTTTAAGACTTATATGACTAATACAAGCTGTCACGCATGCACATGCTCGCTGTCACATTTATATGAGATATAGCTATATCTCTCATATATGTATGTATATCATATTGATACAATCATAATCTATTGCAGGCTATGAAAGAAAAAAAGTCCGGTGGCAGCACATTACCTACCCAGATAGATACATAATAATAAATAATGTTGCTACTGTATTTTTTCTTTCATATATTGCTATAGATTACCACTGTATCTATATCTATTGATCTATGTATGAGAGAGTATACACATTGTACACGAGAGACAGAGAATAAAATAGGCATATAAGACTGAAAAGTCAATGGAACTGTAGCAGGACACTAGGGTGCCTGCTACTGAGTAGTAGTAAATGGGTAGCTGCCAGTCAACAGGGCAGCAGCTGGGAGTTGCTAGGGCAACTAATTGGGTCAGCTGACTGCCAGGGGGCAGGGCCTGGCCTTCATAAACAGAGAGGGCTAAGGCCAGAGGCAGTCCCCCTCTGGCAGCACAAGGAGAAGGAGTTCTGTGGGAGTAAACAGAGCCGAATATAATAGAGAGGTTTGATGGCTGGAGAGCGGCTGTGTATAAGGCTGGGTGGAGGAAACCCTGAGAAGGATACACAGAGATAGCCAGGTTGGCTTGAAGTTGTGTTATAACCCAGGAAGGGGGAGATTGTGTTGGAGTTGTGTTATAACCCAGGAAAGGGAGATTTTGGTTTCGGGTTATTGTGTTTAATACCAGAGGACCGGGCAAGGCTGTAGGGGTGGAGGAGGCCTCAAGGGGAGCCCCCCCAGTAAGGTAGGGGGTGCTCCGAGCGCCAGGTAGGGCGCTGTAGTGGGCGCGAGAAGCGCGAGGGTGCAAGAAGCACTATAGGCCCAGTGGCGTGGGTGCGAAAAGCACAGCGCGAGAAGCACAACGGTGCGAAAAGCACTATAGGCCCAGTGGGCATGGGCGCGAGAAGCGCGAGTAGGCCCCAGTGGGGCATAGGACCCAGGCCAGGTCTGGGGGGGCCAGGTAAGGCTGAGGCCGCCTGAGCCCTAATTGGGAAGAGCCCCAGTGGGGCATAGGCCTGAGAAGGCGGGTATGGGGGCCAGGTAAGGCTAAGGCTGCCTGAGCCCCAACTGGGAGAAGCCCGAGTCGGGCATATGACCCTAGAAGGGGTCTGGGGCCAGGTAAGGCCAAGGCCGCCAGAGCCCCGATTACAAGGAGCGTGAGAAGGCCGGGACGAGGCCCGAGCGCAGGCGAGGCGCAGGAAGCGCAAGCAAGGCCTGAGTCGGGCGTAGAACCCTAGAAGGGGTCTGGGGCCGGGTAAAGCTGAGGCCGCCTGAGCCCCGAGCGCAGGAAGCGCGAGACTAGGCCTGAGCGCGGGCAAGGTGCGGGAAGCGCAAGCAAGGCCCGAGTTGGGCGTAGAACCCTGCAAGGGGTCTGGGGCCAAGTAAGGCTGAGGCCGCCTGAGCCCTGAGCATGCGAAACGTGAGGAGCGTGGGAAGTGCGAGTACAGACCCGAGTCGGGCTGGAAGCGCGAGTACAGGCCCGAGTGCAGGTGACCACAAGACGTACGAGGGGTAGGCCCCAGTGGGGTGCTGCCTGGAAGGGGGAAGCCCCGAAAGGGGGCAAGCCCAGTTAGAGGCCCCAGTGTGGACAAGCACAGGAAGCGTGAGCATAGAAGGTCCCAGTGTGGGCAAGCGCGGGAAGCGCGAACATAGAAGGCCCCAGAGTGAGCAAGCGCGGGCAAGGAGCGCAAGGCATAGGCCCTGGCGGGGGCAAGAGCGTGGGGAGAAGCCCCAGGAGAGGGCGCATATCAAGTAGGCCCGGGAGAAGGCCAGCACAGGGAGTAGAGCAGACTCCTGGTATAGTAAGACCGGCCCCGTGCCAAGGAGGGCAGGAAGGCAGCCTCCCATTGATAATAAAAGATTTAAAGACGTGGTGGGCGAGACAGAGGGTGCATTCAGGACCTAGACTTGGCACGGTAGGCAAGGGCGCTAGGGGAGGTCACGGCAGCCCTGAGGGCGTCCTGCCGCAGGAACCATACTGAAATGTCCCATGAATATACCATCGTATCAATATGATTGTCACGGAGCGGAGTCCTAGAAGCGGCCATGATCTCTCCAGACGCCCCCTACCGTGCCAAGTCTGAGATAAAGCACCCTTGTTCTCGCCCGCCACGTCTTTGATGTTAGGTATTTTATAAGGGAGGCTGCCTTTTT